TATATATATATATATATATATATATTTGGTCAACAACTTCTACTAAAACTGGTCTTTTTTAAATATATTTGTGTTTGGTCTTTTTTGATTGAATTTCATTATTTCACAATGGCCAGGCTGAGTCCATTTAATCTTTACCACAATATTAACTGCCTTGAACTGAGTTAACCAATCAAATAATCATCCAACGCAACTTAAAAATTCAGTGATTCATGTATTAAAAAAGGTTTAAATTAGTTCAATTGTTAAATTGCTGTTATTGTTTTGTAATGCAAAACCACATAATTGGCTAGCTGCATCCTGTCCACCAGGGGGACTCAAACCCAGATTTTTAGAGTTGTCAAACCGCAAGTTGATTTCACTGTAGGTTTTTTTTTTTCTATTACAAACCTAATAATAGAAAATGCAATTTTTTGGATTTTAATTTTTAAAGATATAAAAATTGTTGTTATTGTATTGATTTTCAAGAATTTTATATCAGAAAAATATGCTTATAATTACCTTCAATACGAATACTTAGGTCTTTTTCAGACCCAGGAAGATTTTGAATCACAAAGCTTGCTTTCTTTTGAATACAGGCAGAAATCAGGGATTGTCCAGTTACAGATGCCGTACCTGCCTCATGAAATTTTACCTTGAAAGGGCTCCCTATAACAAATAAAGTGCAGTATTTGTTAGTTTTGTTGTTGTTGTTTTTATATATATAAAAAGATTTTACACAAAAAGAAATTTTAAGATAGTCTCTTGTACAAATAAAACACTTAAAAATGTTATTCTTCACCAATATTTTTAACAGACCCCTCACGAATCAGTGGGGGGACATTTTTTGTTAAAAAAAAACTACCCAATCCTGTTTTTCTTAATTTGAATGAAATTTTTTGGACATGTTTATTGGCTAAATAGAAGGCATTTCCACAATATCTTAGCATTGGGGCTGCAAAAAGTGATTTGAAGTGGTAAGGTGACTGAAATACATCAGCACATCACGAGCTTAATGGCCAAGTACAAGAAGCATGAAAGTCTTCAAATGACATACACAGGTATTCAGGAAACATTTAAACCACCTTGGTAGATATTGTGCTGCAAGCAGAGTACAATGTTATGCTTGTAGCTGTTTTCAAAGTGTTCCTGTCTGCTCATCCTACTGCTGAATATCCTGATGCTTTGACTTTCCCAATTGAATCGAGGGTGAAATCATTTGTATCTCAATTGAAAGCTAAACATAAAAAGGTGATAGCAGAAGCATAAAAGGTTGGCAATTGCATAATTAATGATGCTGAGAATGTGGCTTTATTGATATATACTGAATTTACTCCCAGCACATAGACCTTAGTACTAGCTAGTATGAAGACTTGAATTAACAAACGAAAACTTGCCTCGAAAACATACATCCAAAACTACCCTCTTTGGGAATTTCTGGATTGAACTTACTTTTAATATTCAACAAATTGTAGTGTAAATTCAGTTGTTCAGCTGAGAACAATAAATTATCCTTGACTTTCAAAAGGCTGAATGAACACTAAGAAGCAACACTTTAGTGCAATGGTAACAGAATGTTGTGGACCATAATGATAAGGAATATGAGGCCTTCCATTTTAAACATGAATTGTTTGTTTTGTTGAATTTTACACAAAGCTACTTTAGAGCTATCTGCACTAGCGATCCCTAATTTAGAAGTTATAGACTAGATGGAAGGCAGCAAGTCAACACCACCCATAGCCAACTCTTGGACGCCTCTAATCGAACGGGGGTTGACCATCACATTACAACTCCCTCACGGTTAAAACACTAAACATGTTTAGTGATGGGATTCAAGTCTGTGACCCACAAATTGAAAGTTGAATGCCATAACTATCAAGCCATGCCAAACCATCCCCTATTTAGTTAATGAAATTTTGGACAAAGCTGTACAAAGGTCTATCTATGCATAGTCATCCCTACATAAATTAAAAGGAAGGCAGCTAGCCAATAGTACCCACTGCCAACTCTTGTCTGATCAAATAATGAGATTTAATACATCACTCTTATGTTGTACCCATGGCCCCAAAGAGCACAATCCATTTTTGCAGTAATGGGCCATAAACAATAAAGCTCAGATTCACAAAATCAAGCATGCTAACCACTGGGTTACACTTAGCTCCTGACTCAGTGGTACAAAATACTGAGGGTCATTACTTGTTATACAGGGTCAACTATAGAACGTTACTAAATACATATAATGGTTTATTATTTACTTAAATAAGGTTAACATTCATAAAAACAATCATGAATTTGTAGCATTCCAATAACGAATGGTACTGAACATTATAACTACAGCAGCAGTAAGGTACAAGTGAACCAAAAAAATATTAAGCACTTTCTTATCATTATTCTTCATATCATCATTAATAATTTTATAACATAGTGAAGAAAAATATTTTTTCCAAACAAACAGTATGATTATGTTTTAATTAAAAATAAAGCTAATGATGATGAAACTTTTAGATGAAACAACATTCTCTACACTTGTGTTTCTACAACAGACAGTTGCCATCCATTCAACAAAGTTTCATCATGAATACTCTGCCTAAACAATCTATCAAAGAAAAACTGATGATTTTAGAATTAATCATTGTTTTAAGCACGTGCATTTCTTAAAGGAATCATGAGATACACAATGGTTACAAACAGTCAAAACATTATCTAAATATTTACTTATTTAATGCACTCAAGAAACATCACAAGCACATCACAAGTGTACATGAATAAGCAGAAAAGATTGTCACTGAACAGCACGTGCACAAAAACATAGTATGGTTACTGGTTACAAATATCTTATGAAGAAAAAGTCCCATCATAGCAAAATAAAGCATTTTATTATCATTGGAATTTATCTGTTGTTGAATTATTATCTTAGAAAACTGTATCAACTGACCCTTTATATCAGTCTGTGATGCAACAAAATTTGGTCTCAGTATGCAGGTACAATAAAAGTATTTCTTTAATGTGTTTATAATGGTAACTCATAAATAATGCAATATATTTGTTTCAAGTTTCTAAACTGTAAATTTTACTCATGTAGTAATTTTGTTTCATTGCAAAAATAAGATCTTTATTTTTTTTAGCATACTGAAAATGCAACATTCTTGAGCTTCCTGTACTGCTAATATTTTTTTAATCATGAACACAAGGTCACTGAATCATTATTAAAAAACAAAAAGTTGTGTTTCTTGCCTGGTACTGCTTCTTTGTTGAATGAAACACTTATGGTATGTTCCACAGGTTCTGTTGGGACAAAAGATACACCAAATTTGGCACTTCCAAGTGGATGAACTTGTGTTTGAAGATTACGCCCATGAGCACTAACTGTGATCTCTAAGTTTCCTTCTCCAGCTTGGCTTGCATCCACTGCAGAAAAACAAGAAAAAAAACCCTCCATTTACCGAAATGTGAAACTGTGGGAAAATACTTTTTAAAACTTCTCTAGTAAAATATTTCCCATTATAATTGACTGTATTTACATACCATTTCCCACACAGTATCACAAGCCTCAGTTAGGTATTATGAATAATCAACAATATCAGAGAGCATTGGAAACTACTGCACTAACAAAAACATGTGCAGAACAAATAATGATTTACCTGTGAACTCTACAGTCTTTCCAAGAGCTTGCTGGGGTACTCTACTGACTTCTACCTTTTTACTATCATACACCTTTACAGTGTATGGACTACTGCCTACAGGAGATTCTGCATATTCAATACTGAGAGTATGGGGACCTATATAAACAAAAATGGAAGCATACAGTGTAAAAACAGTAAGCCCTCAAAACTTTAAGGACTTGAAATCTACAGAAATTCAAGATAAAAAACAATTAAATATCATAAACTTAAACAGTTTATATACAATTACAAACACAAGCGCTATACATAATTTATGGATATATCAGCTGCACAAATATGAATTTTCCACACATACTTTTGAGGAGTTAAGATGGGTTCATTTGATACATATACAGTACCAATGAGGTTTTTTATACCAAATAAACAGAAGTCAGCTTAGCTTGGTATATGTATTATTTATGATGTATTTTTCTCATAAAAACATAAGAAATAAAACATTTCTCCAGAATATACCTTTATTCACTCAATATTTTGTTATTACAGCTTTATTAAAGATACTGGCCATTATTTCATTTACATTAATAGAAATGTCTCATAATAAACTCCAGTTTGCATTAAAAAAAGTTAATAATTAGAAATGAAACTTTATGCTAAACTTTGTATACAATTACCATAAAATAAATTACCTTCTTGCATACTATGGGCAGTTTAATATTCAGGTAATTTTGAACAAATCAAAAGTTTGATTAGCTGAAGTTTGCACAGATCAGCTATGACCCGTGTTTAGTTAGTTACTAAAATTACACACTTTGATCATTTACAATGAACCTCTGTACAACTATACAAAATTAATTAATTAAGTGAAGTATGCAAAATATTTTTAGGTACTATTGAACTATTCAGTTTCTGCAGTCACTGACAATAAATTAAAAGCAACTATAATTCAAGCTATAAATGTTATACAATTTTATCTTAAGAGTTGCTAGTAAAGTATCTGTTAACATGACTATCACATATCCAAATACCTACCAACTTCTTTTGGCACAAATTCTGCTAGAAATCCAGTTTGGTTGTTCCTCGTGATTTTTACTGGTACCTGATTACCTTGAGGAGCTACAGATTAAAGATAAAACAGAGTATATGTAATAGTTTAAGTTCCTAACAATTAATTAGTGTTCTTATTTATTTATAGCTTTTAACAGATTTTTATTCAAACTTTGTAAATAACTTTAACAGCATTTAGTTAATTATTTTTTGTAGATACAATTGAAGATTCACACACAAAAAATGTATATACAGTCTACTCTTAGTTCCAAGACTTATGTGGGACTAAACACACCTGAATTACTAAATGTTTTTTTTCAAATCTGTCAAAAGTAAAATTTGTCTAACAACAACTATCCTTTTATGACTGTATCCAACAAAAGCATTAAGACGCTCATAATTTCTGTCTAAGGGTAGGAAAGCTTAAGTCTTAAAAATGTCAGTTGCATTTTAAAGATTAAATCAGGTATCACAAAAAATTATGACTGTCTCATAATAATAATAAGTTAATCAGTTGAAAGTTTCTGTGGTATAAAAATCACTTAAAATTATTTTGCAAGGTTTCTGGAAAGCTTAAAGTTTAAGTAGTGATAACTCAACATTAATTTCAAGCAACGTCTAAAACTCATTGGATTTCTTTCATGGTGATCAAAAAAGTTACAGAAGTTTTCAGCAAAAAACTTTAAGATGCAATCCCAATAATTCAAAGCATCTATAACACGCCCAATTACACATTCTTAACTTACAGATTAGGTTGATTTTCAGCTCTGTCTCACTACCATCACTGACGTTTATTGGAAACTGCACTGACTGACCAATAGGAATCAACTCCACATTACTTAAATCAATGGAGAACTGACTTTTATCTTTTACTTGTATATTAAAAGGAGATTCTGCAAGAAAGAGAATAATATCATTACTGAACAGTGTTACAATAAAAATTTCATACCATTACAATATATTCTAATATATTGATGGATAAAACAATTTAGTATACAAATACACTTTTAATGTACAAATATAGACACTTTTATTTAAACTCCAGAATTAATTAACCAATATTCTCTATAACAAACTCCAGAATTAATTAACCAATATTCTCTATAACAAACTCCAGTATTTATTAACTAATATCCTTTATAATAAATTCTAGCAATTTTTAATTAATACTATCTGTAACTGACATAAAATTACAAATCTTAGGTTAATAAGGTTTCAAAAGATAATTACACAATTACAAGTAGCTCTATTTACAAGTATTCATGAAAATTGGAAGTTAAACTAAAATCTGAATGATGTAGCGATACTATTTTTTTTGTTTTAATTAGAAAATTTGATAAACAGTCAAAATGCATGAATATTAAGTTAAGAAGAAAAAACCAAACTACTAAATTATACATATACTTTAACAATAGTCCATATTAAAAACCTAAAAGAATAGAGGATATGTTTTAATCTAAATGTTGAGGACTCAAAATCATAAACAGATAACCCCTTTTTTTTTAATTATTCATTTTAGAAATATGAATAAGGTGAAAAAACCAAAGTATCTTATCATTCTAGGTGAACTTAATCTAACATAACAAACTTCAGTGATGCTTCCAAAAGCATTTAAAAACAAATAATTGTACTTATAGCAATTAAGTAATAATTTCTACCAGAAGAGCTCCTAAGATTCTGCGATAAAAATTACAATTAAAAATAATTAGCCTTAATTACAAGTAACAACAAACCACAAAAAAAAACATTAAAAGCTTACAATGTCCCTTATGTTTTTCAAATAGATATTTCATGATACAGATCCACAATTATGGGTTAATACAATTATTACTTCTAAAAAAAACCAAAACATTTTCACTTCTTTAATAAGTATTGAAGCTGTTATGTTTTAACTTACCTGGTATGTTTTCTCCATTAAATTTGATATCCACTATGTGTTTGCCTGGATTACTAGGCCTGAAACTCACCACACACTGACCACCACCTAACACCTGAACATGATTTGGAACATCCCCCTCATTGACAGATATCTCAAGTTGCCCTTCTCCTGCCTGTGAAGCATCCACTGTGAATGGAACAAATAATGCTTTAATAAATTTATTGTTGTAACATTGTTCTTTCTTTGAGCAGATTCTTTTAAATTATTTGGTGAAAATAATTCGAAGTCCAGTACACATAATAAGAACAAATTAGTTTATTTCTTCCTTAACGTTGTCTACTATCAGTATCACTTTTACACAGTTGTAACTGGGAGGCCTACATTTACAAATGATATTCAAATAGAAAAATCATGCTAATTGCACTATGAATAACTTTAAAATAAACTTACTTTTACACTTTCATGGATGATCAATTAAGTAATTGAATATATGTAATAATTAACATGGATCCAAACATTTCACTGAAAGTAAATCTTTATTGAATGACTGATGCTGAAAGAACTAAAATTAAAATACATTGACTCAATCTTGATTATTTTTGTATTTGTAATCTACTCTCATCTCATGATACTTCCTAAAGTTATTAGATTCATGATGTTAAATTTAGAACTTTCTAGGTATCTAAGGTATACTTTTATAAACTTTTTAATTTTAATTTCAAGCATTTTTTTCAAGTTAGAATCTAAATTAAAGCACTATAAAATATAGCTTACAACACTAACATATTTTGCAGTGTTAGACATAATAAAGGACTTACAACTTGTATGCATCCCATGAATATCCTCGCACATATTCAGACAGGATTAAAAAAGAAAAACATAAAAGCATTTATTCTTCAGACATGTATAGCTTTAGCTGATTATTTTGTTTTATCAAATATCCAACTCCTGATGACTATCTAACAGTGCTGAAGTTTTCACAAGTGAAACTTCAACTGTTTATTTGTAATTAAGTACAAAGCAACATAATTGGCTATCTATGGTGTGTCCATCTCCAGTATCAAAATATGATTCTTAGCATTGTTGGCCTTCAGACTTACTACTAAGCTATTGGGGGGCACTTCAACTGTTCTCAAATTTATATGTTATTTTTTTCCTGTGAAAGGATGTGTATGGTACTTTTAATATTTTTACCTTAACATATATATTTCTTGTTGTAATGAAGGAGGTAACACTGCTATAACAATACTTTAAAAAGAGTAAAAGTAGTGCAATAAGTCTGTTTAAACTTACACATTTCCTCTAGCATTTATGTCTAGTAACAGATAGCTCTAAGTTTATCTTACCTTGAAACTGACAGTTTTGTCCCACAAATGCCAATTCAGGCATATCATACAGCTTAATCTGGTTTGCATTGTAAGCTTTGGTTGTCAATGGACTTCCTGGGACATGTTGTCCCCCAACAAGAACTTCAATATTGTATGTTCCTAAGTAAAAAAATTGTCGGTATAATGAACATAGTACAAATTAAAATGATAGAACTTAAAATGCTAGTTAATATATTTCAATTATGTTCATGTACTGTAATTGCTCAATTTTATTTTAGTATCAATTATTAATCTTTTCTCCTTACCCAAATGTACTATTGCGAATTTGTTGAAATTTGAAATGATAATTTCTATTTCACAAATGTGGTATGGTTCATAAAGAGACATTCCAAAACAGTCTTACCTCCTCCTCCCACACAAAGTTGTCTTGATCCTAGTTTGCCCTCAAAGCATTGCCCCCACAAAAATTTTTGCAATGAGCAATCCAGTCTTTATACTCCATCAGTTTTGGCCATTTCAGAACATGTTCATATCATACGACTACTCTCCCCAAATAATATTGTGTCATCTATACTGGCACAACTAGCTTCCACTGCTATTTCTACTAAATCTTCATTTTCTCGACAGGCACAGCATTGTTTAGATGTGCGTTTTTTCACATGTGGCTACCGTTTATGAACATGCTTCTTTGCCATTTCAATTTTTTTTTCAACAGTTTTCTTTTACTATGTTTCCATTCACTTGTTTAAATTTTTTTTGCACTTATTTCTTGTTACCAAATTACAAGAAATCATAGTATGTATTTGCAATTAATGTTTATAACAACTTCCCAGGAATCAAGTTTGACTTTATCTACTGAGGAGGTACAGGCCTTAATTTTCAGGGAGCTCATTTAATACATTTGGCTGGGGATTTCTTCTATTTTCATGTGACAATGTTTCTGAGGAAGAATATAATCAAAGAGTAAACACTTTGGACTCTCTTTTCCTGGATGTTTTTGCCCAGAGACCTCACTAGACAAAATAACTTCATCCTATTTTACTTGCATTTCCCCTGGGTGTTTTTGCCTAGATGGACTGCTCTAGTCAATATCACTTTCCATCAACTGATAAAAAAAACACTTCTAGTTTCCTCTGGATGTTTTTGCCCAGGTGGACCTTACTAGATGAGATACCTTAATCAATGGATAACAACATACACCCTACATGCGATTACCCTGGCTGTTTTTTGCCTAAGTGGACTGCACTTGACAATATAACTTAATCAATTGATGTCATCATGAACAGATCACACGATCCTTATGCCCTAGCCACTTGTTGTTATTCTGTTGTTTTTTTTCTTCTCTTCCCCAACCTACTGATGCTGAGGATGAGCTATGGATCATCATCTGTCAGGTTGAGGTTGGGTAGGTACCTAACTCATTCTGTTATATCTTGCTACAGCTTCCATGTATCCAACATTAACACCTGTGGTTCACTGCAAGTATTACTGGGTAGGTTTTTAACACAGGCACAATATCAGGTTAACATTTTCTTACACAGAAAATGTATTTCCAATAGGTACTTCCCTCCACTCACACACTTCCATTCTTCCTTCCGATGCTGGTGTTTTTATATTAATCCCCGCCAATTCTCAAAAATGAGGATTGAGCCGGAACAGCAAAGGGAACTACCTACGACATAATTAATGGCGCAATACTATGGTGGAGAGTAGTCACATGATATGTACATGTTTTAAAATGGCACAAAACTGATGGGGTATAAAGACTGGTGTGCTAATAGCAAAAATGTTTTTAGCAATGCTTAGAGGGAAAACAAGGATCGAGATAGCTTTGTGCGGAATGAGGCAAGTACCTATCGGAAATACATTTTCAGTGTAAGAAAATGTCAACTTCTGGATGGTTGGTCATGATATGTAAATTATGTCATATGATTTGTGAAAATATAGATGATATAAAGTGCTTGATTGTACAATAGCAACAGTTCAAAGGGTGTGAGTGTACTCACATACTATAAGGTAACTATGTAAACATCAGTGAAAGCCTCAAACTTAATGGCATCACACTTGTAATGAATTTGTTATTGTATATTTATTTTAATATCAACGTTTGTTTATATTAACTTTATATTTAAAAACATGAATAACTTGTAGTGTTACTTATGTATTGCAAAACTCCTACCTATTCTCCAAAGTTGTAGAAGATGCTCGAGAGTAAGAATCAGCAATATATGTATATATGTAAACACTTAAATTGTATTTTTAGGTAAGACTGAAATTTCTAGAATGCCTACACACGGCTATAAATATAACCAATGCGGTGCGCCAAAAGTGAGCGTCTATTAGTAGTTTGCTATAATCAGTGTGCTATAAACTTCAAAAGCTATAACTGTGATTTTTATAACCCTTATCAATCAGAAAACTTTAGATATTTGACCAGGAACCTTTAAAAAGTTTGAACATTACAAATTATTTAGCTTCAGTGGTTTCTCATCGGACATTAATATTTTTACGAAAACATTACCTAACTTCAACGGTGGAAAACCTAGCGTGTGTGGCCAAGGACAAAGCTAGCTAGCTTCCTGGCAAATCATACTTACATTATATATTAAGGAAGTTCCAAACTAGAAAGAAGATTTTATATTGTTTGTAAGTTTGTAAAACTTTTGTTTATAAATCTTTGTTTGTAATAATTATTTGTAATAATTGTTACTGTAAATTGTATTGTTGTGTGTATATATTAAAACGTATTTGTATTAAAAAAGAAAAATGTGTATCAATCTTGTTGGCAAATATCATAAACTGACTATATATTGGCATTTAAGTAAGATTTTAACTACTAAATTTAAATTATCAGTTAACTCAATCTTAGACCATTTAAGTAACATTCTAATACGTAACACACTGTCTGTAGTTGTCTTAAGATTATGTAATGATTAATAGTATTTAACCCTGGTTGCTAATTAAAGTAAGTGTTTTCATTTCTGAATTGTTTTATCATCTAAATTGGCCTATCACATAAAAATGGAATATATATGCTTCTTACTATAATGTATGTGAGAGTATAGTAAATAGGTAATAGCTTAGTTGAAGCATCTTTGTAAAGTGATTGAATATTTATAATTGTTACCGACTGCTCAATAACATACTTTTTTTTTTAAATAAAATGAAATATCATATCAGAAATTCAAAACTTGTTATAGCAAAAACGTTTAAGAACATAAAACCTAATACTAATGCAAGTGATATTATGTATAGAAATTTGTACCTTAGTTCAGACAATATTTAAATTTTTGTATTAAAAACATAATAATCAAGTTGGGTATTTCATTCTATTTCTAAGATAAAACTTTGGAAGGATTAGTACAAAATGCTGAAGACACTTACCAACTTCAAATCCTTTGAAATCAACACGGTATTTGTCTCTCTGCAATTCAAGAAGTCGATGCTGTACAACGTTTTTCGATGGTCCTGAAAAACAAATTTTGTAAGATTTTGCAAGGAATTGTTTTTTGTGTTTTTTTTTTCAAAGGATACTGCTTATTTTTGATAAACATATTGAAATTATTCTGAGTTCAACAAATAAAAGAAAATTTAAAATTTTATTGTAAACTGTACAAATTTTTTTCTTTCTTACCTAGTCAAAATAAAATCTCTCATGCTTTTATCTTAGAACAGTTATTCTACAAACTTATGAGTGAAAGCCTAAGAAATGTTAAAGTTCATTTTAAACAGTACAAAAAATCAAATACCTGTTATAACCACTCGTATATCTTCTTTATCAAAACCAGCACCCATAATTTCAAATGATGTTGAGTGGTTGGTACTAAAAGATTGTAGAGCCTTCCCTGTCAATGTAAAATTTTTAACTGGGTCCAAGACTTCACATTTCCATGGAGAATCTGCAACATACAAGTACTTATGTAATAAATATTTTAACATATGGTGCTTTTTGTAATAAGGATATCACAGGGAGCAACAAGAGAGGATAAGTCTATGAAATTGTGTAAAACAAATATTGTTATTTAATGACTTTTCACTTACTGTTAGTATGCTAATAAATTTACATAGCATAGATATCTATTTAGATAAGAAAAAATGCTTTTCAAAGTGAAAATGAACAGAAAATGCGAGTTAAGACTAAGAGTGTAACATGCTCATCACACTTAAGTTCAAAATAATAATAAAAATCTACAATATTACAATCATTAACTAACAATTACCTCATCAGATATATGATCAATATTTCTAACATTTAAGAAGAGAAAAAGAAAAAAAGTTGCCAGAACTTGAAATTAAGAACATTACAACATCACTAAACACAGATACAAGACAAGCTTAATAATAAATTGACAAACAATGATATATAAGCATAATGAAGTAGTTTATTTCTGAGGGAACATACTACATGTTTCGACAGAACACTGACCTGTCTTCTTCAGATGATATGTTCCCCCCCCCCCCAAAAAAATAAACCACTTCAATATACTTATAAATTGTTGTTTGTTAATTTAGTATTATATTAGAAAAATGTCCTTCCATACATAAGTACAAGACGAGTTTGTTATGTGGATGATCCAACTCATCTCTATTAACTTATTTAAACAACTTGCAGTAAGTTTCACATACAAGAAACTTAACGAGAACTGCACTTGAGGATTTCAGAATATGGAAAGCCATCCATCAATGTGTTGTAGATTTGTAGCAGAACAATACACAAAAACCCATGGAGTACTAACTATAAAAGGTTATTTTCATAGAAATTTTTCGTATATGCTAGACCTTTTTTTAGAAAAGAAATATATAGAGCCATAATAATTTATGATGCAAGAATTACACCCAAAAAACAATCAGGACTATGGCTGAGTTTTGTAATATTAAGTACCACTAACTTTCTTGTGAATGTTTTCTAAACAAACATACATAGATAGTCTTCAAGAAGAAATACATTTTCATTTTGCATACATTAATGTTCAATTAATTATCTATCAAAATTGTCAATGAAGTAGATTAAGCTATGCAGTATCTTTTAAATCCATCCAAACATGTGGTATATTATTATTCATTTTCAATAATTTTATATTCAACAGTAATGTTATGACAATTCATTTACCATTGTTTAATGAACATTTGTGCACATATTTTTCAAATAACATTTCTGTTTTTACGTAGACTTAATTATGAAACCAGTTGCAAGTTTAGCTTTACTGAAGTACATTAACTGTATTATCCTGATTAAGCCATAATGGAGGAACTCTGAGAAAATTAAGCTAAAATTAAACAAGTTTTATTTTTTGAAGTATATTCTTGTATAATTATTTAAATACGTCAAAACTTCAATGTGCATTTTAATTAAATCATAAATACTTATTACTATGCTGTTGTTTTTATAATCTGAACAATGGGAGTTTAATCTTTTAGTTCTAGCTTTGTGGAAGAATAACAGTGTTTACAGTGGAAGTGGTGAATCATTTTTCATCCTTAAATTAAATTTTCAAACACACAAACTAAAGTTTTTATTAAACTTCAATAATATATACAATATTTGCCAATAATAATAATCATAATAATATTTAAAACAAAACAAAAAACTTGTAAAAGCTATTTTTTGTAGTAAAACTCTGAAATACTATTAACATCACTAAACATAATGTTCATGAAGACTAATAAAAAAATTGTCTAAGAAAGACTACAAGCAATAATCATACCTGGAACCTTTTCTCCATTAAATGTCATGTCTATGGTATGTGAAGCGGCCATATGAGGAACAAAAGATGCTAAAAAACGATGATCACCAAGACTCTTAACCTGACTTGTGACATGACCACCATTCACTAGTATCTCTAGATTTCCAGAACCTGCCTCAGCCCCATTAACTGTAATGTATAACATTTCAATAAAAAACTAACCATATTTGATATTACCATTGTTAAAAAAAAATTTAAAAACCATGATGCACAAAAGTAATATTAAATAATTTGATACACATCTCAATTTTTCTGTGTGATTAGTTAAAACCTACTAGGGTTAATATTTATTTCAGGTAATTTTAAAATTATAGAATCTTACTATTTTTTAAACTAATATATTTAAAAATTCTTCATTTCTAAACAACTGAAAAATAAATTATAATTAACTTACTTTCAAATTCAACAGGTTTTCCAATGAAACCATTGGGAACTTTTCCAAACTTGATTTTACTTGCATCAAAAGCAAAACAATGGAAAGGGCTACCAGGTAGTGATTTTCCACAAAGTTTCACATCAACTTTATGTTCACCTACTTCTGAAGTAATGTACTCTACTTCATATTGCCCATAATGGGCACTGTTTAGTCTAGTGGGGATATCCTTTCCAGAGGGAGCTTTGAATAGAACAAAAACTGTTTTCATGACTAAGGATTTATTGCAATATCCCTTACTAGCAAAGGAGATTTTACTATTCTATCAATAATGCAATATTTGAAAACAGAAGATGAAATTTTCCAACAATAAACAATTGATTCTGTTTGGTACTGTTCATTAAAAGTACAAAATTGAATGTGGAACTAAAATAAAACACTGAAAAGACTCAGGGAAAAAAATATATTAAAACAAAAAGATTAAATTAAAGATCTAAAACTAATTTAAAATATATTTATCTTTTTTTTTAACATAAACTTTTTGTGTTGAATTTCATATTTTTATTTCTTATTGATTGGTCTATTCATTTTAGTTGCATATGCAAATTGTTATCATTTTATCTCTCTTACAAATATTTATTATTGTATTAAGTTTTTGTATAAAATACCTCCCAAGCCTGTATTTTTTACTCATTGTTTTTCCACCAGATTTTTACACTATTAGACAAATATTTTCAAAACTTAAAAATTAGATTAATTTTTTCAAAGTAGTATCATATTACTGAATTCTACTGCAAGGTAGGTGTAATAGAACCTTAGGGGAATTTTCGTGAAGGAAAACGCAATTAAAATATTTGTAAGATGTGGATTTATTTTGGTTTTTTTTTCCCTCATGAACTTTCTTTTCAGGTGCCCTAAGTGAGAATTTCATCACTATATAATACGGTACAGATGAATGTTTTTTGTTTTGTTTTTTTACACCAATCACTTAATTATATTAGAAAACAAGCAAAACAGATTAAAAGTTTGCTTCATAAAAACCTGAAAATGAAAAACTAATGCTCAACTATTATACTTGAAAGAATCATCTTTAATACACTAAGAAGATCAGGCCTAGCAGCATTATAGTAAAATTACCTTAAACACAAGAATTTTTATCAATTGTGTTTTCACTAATGCTTCCAGGCTTTAGGTTAACCACTTCAATAGCAAACCAATTTTAGTTCTGATAAATAATTTATCATTCAAACAAAACATATAAATAAATAACAACATTAATGAATACTACACCTGTAACTGAGGCAACAATGTCATCTTGTTCAAATTCATTCGCTGTTAAAATAAAAGTAGCTGGTTTTCTCACAGGAATAAGTTTTAACCCACTACCAGCAATTGTAACATGGCTGAAATCAACAGTTTCACCCTTTTTAGAAATTGGTGAAGATACGGATGTCTCCTCGTGAGGCTCTCTTTTTGATAAGTGGCTTGAAAATGTTAGGCTTTCACTTTTATGAAGATCTGTGGTTTCTTTAGTTACTGAACTTAAAGAAGACAACTGGTCTGTAGAAATGTTGGAAGCTTCTTTCATTTCAGATTTAGTTGATAAAAGCAATGTATCAAGTTTATGTAAGTTAATATTTTCTTTTTTTAAAGGAACTGATTCAGCAATTGAAGATTTTGACAGAACTTCTGAATGCTGAAGACTGACATCTTTTTGTTGGGCATGGGATTCTTTATCACTTGGATCTAACCGTCTTTCGTTTTCTTGATGTCCGACTTTGACATGAGCCACACCTGTACCATCTACTGTTGAAAAACTTGGAGAATTTCTTAGTAGAACAGGAATCTTGCTTTTGGCATGAACAGTAGACTTTTCTTCATCAATGATACTATTTTTGTTGGTGACCTTCCACATTTCCTCTTCCTGGCTTGAGCTTGAATGTTTTTCCCATAATTTTGTTGAATCAGCATTACCTTGAACTTTAATTTCAGATTTTATTCCAGTGGATTTATGTCCTTTTTCCTCTTGATGCAATAACGATGACATATTTACTGACATCTGAACATTAGGTGATATCTCACCAAGTTCTTGCCTTGATCCTTCAAGCTGAAGATCTCTGGTGATTGATATCTTGGGAGGCTCCCGAGAACCCCAGCTCCTGGTCATTACATCTACTTTAGAAGGTTTTTTTGGAGGTGGAGGGGGTGGTGGGGACTTTGGAGACTTTATTTGTCTAACATCCTCTTGAGATTTCACTTTTCGAGAGAATGAAGCATCATGTGAAGGAGAAACTTTTGGTGCAGTTGATTTATTTACTTGAGCTTTTAATTTTCCTTTGTTGAAATCTTTTGATGTTGACTTAGAAAGATCTACATCTTCTCGGGAAGCAGATAAAGCCTTATTGATTTTTTCCGCTCGTTCTTCAAATGACATTCCTATCACTTCTCGACTCACTTGAGAAATAGATGGACCTTCTCTTGTCACTTTTTGAAACTGATCTTGTTCCACTTTGGAATGCAAATGTTGGTTACTTTTGTTTTTTACTGCCTGAATAACATTATTTTTGGAAGCTGAGAAAGTGCCATGTTGCTTTGTTGACACTGTTTTAACTTCTGCTGTTACCTTTCCTTGATGGTTGTTTATTGCACTATTAAGATTCTTCTCAGTAATAATCTTGAGAGAAGGATTACTGGATGATCTAGATGGTACTGGGGGACGTTGTGGGGATCCATCTCCGCTGGTCCTCGTACCAAGCACAAAACTGCTTCCACTTCCAAGTTCTCTATGCCATGCTCCTGCCCCAGCAAGATTAACAATAAAAGGAGAACCTGCTCCACAAAAACAAATAATGTGAATTAGAATCAATTAAATGAAATATAAAAATTACAATTGACATAAATTTCAGTTTCTAAAAGTTCAAAATCATCCCAAACCAGTTTTTAAGTCTATATCCTGAAAAAACAATTAACTAATACAAATCATGTATTCAAATTTACAAACACCTGTTAAAAGCCTTTACTATGATTAACATAATTATAGAATTTCTTATAGTTCTTGTTTCAATTTTAGTTTTTTATTTCAATAATTCTTGGTACTTGTACCCTTCACGATTCTAAATATTTGTAAAGAAAAATTTGAAATTATTTGTTAACATAAAATAACTTATTTTTAATGGTTCCTGTCATTTGTTTTTCTATTTAGCTATGACTAAAACATATTTCTATGCTTAAGGTACAGATATAGTCAACATATTTGATGAGTAAAGACAAAAAATAAAAATTGCCAACTATTCAAAATTGATGGTAAAGATCAAGTTTCCCTGTCATCACTGATCAATCTGGTGTACACTGGTAGCAATTAAAGATAATCAGTTTGAAATGATTTGATAATTTGCTTAATTTTAAAATGGTTCCGATAATGTTACCCATTTCACATTTACTTAATCTGTTCTAAAAGACTTAACTGGCAGTTTAAAACTGAATTAATGCTGCAAAATTCATGAACATCTGGTCTCTTAAAAATTAGATAGTTTTTAAATGATCTAAGTGTTAAAAATAAAAAAATATCAGAGAAATAAATTAACAATATTTTAAGCACTTTACATACATTCATAAACACTATCAAACTACAGGATAACAATCACTCATGATTGTCACTGCTGAAAGAGACCCTATAACTAACAAAGTTGAGGTCCCTCAATTTGATGCATAAAAATGATTTGGAAAAACAATTGAAAGAGCTAATGGACTCACCACTCAACCAGTTATCCTATGGTTAAGCTAAGAATTTTGTAGTACATTTATAAAGAGTGTATTACACGAATATGTATATATATATTTATATTGTCAGAAAGGACAACATTTAGTTGTATCAACTGTAACTTGTATATATATATTACACAGCATTTACTCTATCCAAACAAGGCAACAATTTTTAAATACATGCCAATATGCAGCAAACACAGAGCTAAAAACATAAAATACATTATTTTGCTACACTGTACCACACATCATAATGCTCATCAAACCTTGACTTGTAATAATATGACCAATACTAAAACAGTCACAATAAATGAGAAAATATAACAATGATTAACATCATGGAAACTTTAAATATAAAAAAAATAGTTCAGCTTTTATATAGGTTTTTTAACTTTATTTCTAAGATAACCTGTGAATTGAGTAAATTTCAATATGTAATGCAGTGTTAAACATAATTAAATAATTAAACAAATAACTACTTTTATCTATTACCCTGAGCTGAACGTTATAACATTAAAAAGTGTAATATACTAGACATTATTAAAAGGTATGAATGGAATGAAGAATTAAAAAGTTAGTTTTACAGTATAAAATCTAGCAGTATATTATACTTGGACTTTTCATTCATTAGGCCTAAATCAGAAGTTGATGTTCAAAATAACAAGGGAAGATAAATAATACAATGTTTGATCAAGAAACGAAAACCAATAGAAGCCAGCTATACACAAAAATGGTTTATAATATTATGAAGAAAGTTTATATTACCAAGTGACTCACCTTTAACCTCAGAGCCATTAAAAGTCACTCTCACACTGTATGTGCCAGGCTGAGTCGGACTGAATGTTACAAAGTAGATTCCATTCCCTCGTTCTTCAATTAGTGAAGGTACAACTTTTCCATTATGCTGAATATCAATTTTCATTTCTCCCCATCCTGCATTACTAGCATCACATGTGAAGGTTGACTCCTGACCTAAGACCAGCTGTTCTAAGCCTTTCAACTATAATACATAATAAATTCATTATCAGAATAAATTAAAAAAGAATAAGTGTTCTTAAGGCTATCTTTTTTAATGGTTTGTATAATTTAGCAAAATATTGATGTTAAAGAAATAATTTATATCTTATCAAATGATTAAGATTTAAAAACAATATCCTAAATATTGCAATACTTTTCTCCTGCTTATGTTTATAACCTTAGATTTATTAGATAATCAGATTGTTCAGCATCAAGGCATTTCTCAGTGAATGATTAGATTAATAAATAACTTTTTTTAATGAATAGAAAAATTGCTGGAATTTGAAAGTAAGGTCATATTTTTCATGGAAACAGAAAATAATCTAAAAATTGGTTCAATTATTTTCTGTAATATGATTTATCATGATTTCTTTATTTTGAAAGGCATACATGTATAGTTTAAACTCTAAAGTGTTACACAAAAGTTTATCATTACTCCAACCTTTTGGTTTACATCAGAATCTAAGACTTGAGATGAAACTGCTCAAATTGAAGTTTGTTTTTTAATTTTACTCAAAGCTACTTGAGAGCTATCTACACTAACCAGCTCTAATTTAACAGTAATAGACTAGAGGGAAGGCAGCTAGTCAACATCATCCACTGTTAACTCTTTTACTAACAATATTGGGATTGACCATTAGAACAGGTTGAACGTGCTTGGTGATTGGGATTTGAACCTGCAACTTGCATATTGCAAGTCAAGCACCCTAACCACCAGGCTATGCCAAGTCTAAAAATTAAAAAGAAATGAGTGCATTTGGGACCCCTTTTTTGAACTCTATTTGTCAAGTTACTTATAGTAACAAACTTATCTGGTATATGAAACCTGTACTGAATGCAGTCAAAATTCCATATAGCAGCACTATATGTAAAATTTCAATTTGTGCAACAAATTATAAACAAATGCATAATGGGGGAAATGAAAGACAAAAACAAGTTATTTGCTATAAGCATAGTATATTTATTAAGCTTGAGCATATACAGAAAATAAAAGGCACTTTTTATTTGTTTATGTACACAAAAATATTGTTTGACCATACGAAATTATGCTACTTTCAACTTTGTAAATGAATTACTGAACACAAGCCAATTAATTTCCTGAACTGATCATAATTAAGAAATATACTTTTTCTGCTTATTGGATAATGTTTAAGGATAGCTTATTGAGGTGATCAAAAAACAAAAACCAGTTAACTATAAAGAAATAAGACTATTGGCTGGGTCCAACAGACACCTCATATACATCCTAGAGTTAAAGAATAGCATAGCTGTTCGATTCCTTAAAATAATATTAAATGTTCTTTATTTAAATGATATTCTCATTTATTTCTCTAAAAAAATACAAACATTCCAAAACTTTTATTAAGAAACACAAGCATCATTTTAGAAAAATACCCAGAATTAACTTCAGATCAGGAAACCAATAAGATCAATACTTAAATCATGTATGGTAAACTACTGGCTATAAAAATGTTCTTTAAAAATAAATAATAATTCTTGTACAAAAACAGAGCTGTGAATATTCTTTTTGTAATTGGCTATTAAGAATGATTGAAAATACAAAAAACAGCTGCTTATCATAACATACCTTAATTTGTGCAGGATCATAAACATAGCATGAAAATGGACTTCCATGGATGTGTTCACGAGAATATGTCACTGATATTTTCCACTCCCCTAAGTCATGAAACAAATATCACACTAAGTATATGTAAAAAAATTCCTTCCCAGATAAAAGGGACAAACATTTCCAATTCATTGCAAATTACTATGTCAGCATTCTACAACACGAAGTTCCAACTTTTTCTAGTTCAAATGTAGGCCATAATAAAAGGAGCACTGAAATTAGAAGTATTCTACTAAAATTGTATGTATGTTTTGTTATAGCAAAGCCACATCAGGTTATCTGATGTATCCACCAAGGGGAATCGAACCCCTGATTTTTAGCATTGTAAATCTGAAGATTTACTGTTGTCTCACTGTTGAGTACATGTCTGTATGTGTCTATGCTCGCGCACCTGCATATGAAAATTCTAGGCCTAACAAAATTGAATTCTAGGTTCAAATCCATTAAAAACAATTATATTTCAACTAATTTTTAACTAGGAATCTAGTTCTCAATGAAATGCTTCCTAGAATGTAGGAAAACTGAAATTCTGTACTGAAACCTTTTTTTTTTTCAGTGTATTATTTAATACCCACATAAATTCATATTTATTTCTACACACATGCCCTATACTACAATCTAAGTAAATAATCACCTTGCTTCGTAGTACAATGGACCATACTGGGATTAATGAAATAATGAATTTTATTTGAATTTTTATTATCAGTATATTCAAATCAACTCAAACAGCTAATTTTCTCTAACCTCCAATATGTCTACATACTGTAATTGCACCAAACCATGCGTACATACCAAATCTAACACATTTCTCAAGGTATAAAGTGATATGTATCCATACGAAAGTAAGTACAATGACAGAAATCAAGTTTCTACTTATGTCCAGAATGTACAAGAGTGGACGATTGATTTACTTCAGTTGGATTGTAAAATAGCAGCTGTTGTCAATGAAAGGCACGTATATTAAAATATGATAGTCTCACAAGTTTGTTGTACTATTACTTGTTGGTATATAAATTAAACATTAAAATAGGAATAGCTTGATCAGATCATGGCTGAAGTTTGCCAAGCTCTGCAAGATAAGAATAATAATAGGAGTCAAATACAGAGAAATTAGCTAAAATTTGCTGAAGAAACAGACATACCACTTAATTATAAAAATAAAAAGCATCAAATTTCATTTAAACTAGTGCTGAAAGAAGATACTTTACTTATACATTTAACTTTTGTTTCTTTGTACCAAATTAGTTTTGTGGAAACTATAATATTTTGGATTGAGATGTTTATCTAATATTTTAGTGCATATTTTCAAGGCAGTAATACACTAATTAAAACAAGGAAGATAATAATTGTAATTTGTAATAGAATAGCTATAACATGGTAAAAACTTCTGTTATAAAGTAATTTAAATCACCTCTCACAGTACATTTCAATGTTTTACTCAAGTATAATCAGACAAATGAAAGCTGGCCAATCACAAAAAGCTCTTGCAAGTTGGCTTTAAGCATGTTAAAATGCCATTAACAGAATGTGGAACTGCTTCCAAACCAATGGTATGATTGTTTAAACATATGAATAAAGCATGCCATCATACATAACACAGACCACAACTATTTGTCAATTCTGGCTCATCAAACATAAGATACAGGCTCCAAGAATGAATGCCACACACTGGTCAGCCTTGTGAAGTCTGTTTCTAATCACCTGTGCACCAGATACCCTACGAGATACATTCTGATTATACAATGTCAAAGCTCATCTGCAATGGTACCATGCCAAGAACACATCCATTTGACCAACGACATGTAGTAGCCAGATAACAGACTTGTACTCACTTAGAAGGAATATGAACCAGATACTATACCCCAATTTTGCAAAATATCATGTTACATATGATAGTGGAAGAAACATGAGGTAAGTAGAAATAAGCAGTGGTGAACATACCAATCTCTACTTCCAATGAAATTGTACCATACCACATCCTATGACTGTGTGATACCTTGTTCTGGTGCAAATGGCCCTGCTCTCGTGGTAATGCCCCCACCCCCCCACCTGCTAAAGTGACCAATCACAGTTTATCAACCAATAAAACAGGTCATTTGGATATATTCAGTATTATTGATCAATCATATAAATCACAAAGCCAAATGATACTATCCAATCAGTTTAATAATGATGACATTGAAACAAAATAATAACTTCTCATGATCTTGTTGCCAACAAGAACTAATGTTGTTAAGTCATTCACTGGTTCATTTGAAGAATATGTAATAATTTTTTATATTCTGTGAGTTGTGACATGTGTGCTTTCTGACATTATGATGGAAGACACATGGATTGGATGAAAAGCAGAACAAAAAAAATCTAAAAATTGAGTACCAGCAGAATTTCAAACCTGATTGTAATGTTACAAAGATCACGTGACCTTTAGTCACTCATCATTCAAACATTGTAATCATTAACAAATAAACCAAAACAAGGTAATAATATAAACGCAACCTTGATTATAGAAGCTAAATATATACATTTTTATTATGTATAAAAAGATACATTAGTAATGACAATCATCTAGCATGTCAATAAAAGACATAAATCATATCTTGGAAACCTACTACAATATTTTTTTATTTTACAATATTCATAGCACTGATATTTTATTTCAAGAATAACAGAAAGCTGTGTTACACAGTCAATCTTGTAATTTGTTCTTCATCAGCAGTAATATAAACATTAAACTATGATACTTGAATAAACTTAGCCATTTGTAATCAATAATGTATCATGTACCTATTTCATCTGGAGTAAATGCAGCTGTGTAGGTTCCTTTGTCTTCCAGTACAGGACAGTTACATGTTCTTCTACTAGGGGCTTCTGCCTCCACTAAGACATCACCACCACCAGCACCATTAGAATTAATCTAAATAAGAATTATCAGAATGTCATAGTTTAAATAGGAATGTAAACTGATATGTCATATTACTATTGTTATTTGAAAAAAAAACAATGTAAGGCTTGTATGTTTGTTGTTGAGCATAAAACTACACAATGAGCTATCTGTACTCTGCTCCAGTCTGTATTCTAACAAAACCTAATTTTTACATTATAAGCCTTCAGGCTTACCACTGAGCCTTCTCAGAAGCAAATGCATAAGAACATTAATGCATAGAAAACATCTACAACTTTCATTATCATGGCAGAAACTATAAAAACTTCTTCTAACATGACCTCTAGCATTATAAAATCCAATAGGAAAAAAAATTTTTCAAATACAAGTTTGAAATTGATTCTTTTGAAATCTTCATTTGTCCAATAGATATATTTCTAACATTTTGGTAAATTTACACCGACATGTTCTGAGGACTTTAATTTCACTAATGATAAGCACAATGATAAATTATAAAACAGCATAAGTGTATCAACAAAATATACAATTAATCCAATCATAGGAACTCATCACGTCCTTCTCATTTGGAATGACAAAAATAAAAATACATAAGCATATTTCTCAAAATAATGTACTAAAATCTAAACCATGGGTAAAACTGTTAGAAAAAAAAACTGTTTAGGTGAACCTGTTTGTTCATAAAGTTGGATTAAAATCACAAGAGATAATAATAATTATAATACATGAAATCAATTAACATAAATATTAGTACATCAGCAGAAATAAATATGAAACTTTATGCATTTATCTTGATTAAAGGTTTCTCAATTTCAAATTAGTTTAATGATAAAGTACTATCACAGAAAAAACTTATTTCTTCACACATAAAAAGCTACCACTGCCAGTACCGCATAAAAAAATTTAAGGTATGTAACAAATACATGTTAACTTTTGTTTTACTGTCATATTAATTACCAAACAATGAAGGTTTAAATTTTGGCTTTAGGAGAATGATTCATCATGTGTTGTACATTCACTATGATGAGACCGTCCCTTGAAAATATCCAAATTACACATACATGCAACCTTCAGCCTTGCTGGATGATATTTGTTCCATTTTTTTAAAAACTATTAAGCACTGCAATCATATTTGAAAAGTCTTTTTTTTAATTTAATAATTTTATTTTATTTTATTTTTAACTGATTTAAATTTTTAAAGCTAACAGAGCATTAAGTTTAGAGGATAATACCAAGCTTCATTGTAGTTTTATAAAATTCCAGGATTTGTTATCTTTTGTTTTTTAGCTAACTCTGTAAATACCAAGTGTAACATGCTGGGACATATATTATAAACACAATATGAATAAAACAGCTAAACAGTACTATCAGAATTTAAAAAATATATATTCTTCTTTTTCTCAATTGTCAAAATAAAAAGGCTTTTACTTGTATTTCTTATTAATATAAATGTATACTACGTTGTTGTTGGGCTTAGGATTCTACTACAATAGAGGTCTGTGACTTGTTAGTGATAAATTCAATGTTAAATAAACAGCATGCACTTCACTTGTTTTCAAAATAATATTATATTTTCGGAACAAGATAAACATATGTACAACAAATTCTTCAACACTACGGAGATTATAGGCATATCATAGACACTATACATGTAGTTCTCTCCTTCTTGTCAAAAGTTCACTTAGGCCTATTTGATTACCTTAGAATTTCAGTTAACAAGCTGAATTATCCTCTCTATTACTACTGCACTAGTATTCTGTGTGTCACTTACAATTGTAATTGTTTGGTCTTCTTTCTTCTGAAGATCCTCTGTTTCTTTTTTCAAAGTGCACTCAGGCTAATTCAATTATTTTTGAACCATGCTTTGATGAAATAAATTATTTTTCTTATCTCCGCTTCTACTGTTAGTCTTAGTCTAACATATTAAACGTTAGGCCTATCACTTCTACAATTGTTAACTTCATGCTGAACCTTTCCTTTTGTAACTTTACTTAATCATCTGTCTGCCTTCCATATTATCAATGTCAATGTATTGCACACAATGCTCAATAGTCTCAACGTCAATCAATTATTAACAAAACTCCATATAATCATCTGCTTTTAACTCTTAAATTAATCATTAATATCTAAACTAAACAGTCTTTTATATCATGACAAGTACTAATGAGAAATAAAAACTTTCATAAGTAAACTTACGATGCAGAACTATCACACTATCAAGCAAAAGTAGCAATTTTCACTCTTTTTAAGAACAAGCATAATTGCAGTCAGATATATCTAACCTCCTCCTGCCATGGTGACAATATGAAGCAACATAAAACCAAAACTCAGTAATATAAAGTTAATCAACACCACTTCATTGTTGTGTCCCTAGCATTCCATGATCATTTTTTACCATAATATGCTTTTGTTTAGCAAATAAAGATATAACTATTAAAGAAGTAAAGTGTGTTTAAAATAACTTTTTTGAATATTATTTCATTTTTTTATTATTAATTTTTACACTTAAGATTATTTTGGACTGTTAACTGGCTGAAAATACCAGGAACAAGGAGGCTCTTCTACTGATTACTAAATGCATCCTAATAAATAAATAAAGATTTTAAGTTTTCACTTAGGTATTGATTTATGACATTATATACTTATGTTCTATCTATTATATAGATTTTGCTCCATTTATTTACAAGATATATTTTAGTTCTGATCTATACAGTTGATTTAGTTTTGAACAGTTATTACTGTTGTTTTAGCAATGAAATATCATTTTGATCTGAGCAAACTGTATTAATAACATAGACTGGTTACTTCCTATAGTATATTCTTCTATTGGTTATTTAGAATAAAACAGTCTATCTTGTAATTATACAAAATAATCGTAATTATCAGAATAAAGAACATTCCAGTAACAAACATACTAAAACTTCCACGATAGATCCAACAGCACAAGGGTCAATTCCTGAGTATAGAATCTTGGAGAGTTCTGGATAGACCATGATTTTCAGTGGACAATCAGGGATAATGTCTCCCCAGTTATAAATTATTAACTGTAGGAAACAAACAATATATTCATCAGAACTTGATGGAGATAGTTTGCTTTGAAAAACAGCAAAATAAAAAAAAGAACTGTTCTGAGCTATATAATTTTATATGTTAGGCACTAAAAGAAATGTAGCATATAAAGGTTTACCTACATTTGATAAACTACAAGAAACAGAAATAAAAAAAAGAACAAATTATAATTGGTAATCTTGACATATTACTGGGTTTTTAAAAGGTTTTAAACTTGTAATACATAATTTTTCATTAACAGTTATTTTAAATATTTGTGTGTACCTAAAAGAAACTTACTTTACAAAATTATGATATATCTAAAATGCCATTTCTGTCTAGCATTACTAAGATTACAGAGCATTTAGTGTTCACTTTTATGAGAAAGCTAATATTAAAATTTCCATGTAACTATATAAACCCTTGCAGAAATTGCAACAATAATGGAATGGTATTGGAATTTTTATTATTTTTTTAAAATCTAAGAGTATTTCGTTTTACTGAAAGATATGCTAATAAATGTCTCAACAGACATACTTTTTTTTCCTTAAGCATGAAAAACACACTAGATTCAACTAATATACTACTTTCCCCATTAGTTTTTACAAGCCTGGGATTATTTTACCCAATAATCCCAATAATCAATTAGTTAATCCCTTAACCTACTCCAAAAAAATGCACTTTTCAATTCATTTAAAATGAATGTCTCATGGACTTGTGATAAAAAAACAACAACATAAATTTAATGGTAAAAGTCTAACAAATAACATTGGCTGAATTAAGTACAGTCATTCTACTTTTTGTTACTCTTAACTTTCCAAACCTTTTGAAACTAAAGAAAAATATTAAGAAATGCAATTAATATTATATTTCTTCTTACTTCATGCATTCCTGTTTCAGTAGGGGTAAAAACTCCAGTTCCTCCATTACGAGATAAACTTATTTGACACTCAATTTTTCCACTTGAACTTCGAACCTCTGCCTTTAGTTGCTTCTGATCCACAGATTTATCTAGAAATTGGATTTTGAAGTGTGCCTATGAATAAAATATCAAAAATGATTTAGTTTTATCACCTTGCATCAACCATCACTTTGTGGATTTCCATTTTGAAGAAGGTAATTAATTCAAACGTGTTCTTCTTAATTACCAATTATACAAATTCATCCATTCTCTCTGTAAGTTACTATAACACTGTATTTGATACCTTAATACCACAGAAATTTCTGTATTAGCTTGTTCAGAAATTAATATGCATTAAATCAGTGATTTGCCCTTAGGTAAAATGTTTAACAAAAAACAAATTTTTATACCATGTATTTTAGGTTGAAAACTACCTTATGCTTTTAAATAACAAGTTCTACATTTATCGAGTGATAAATGTGAAAAATATACATACTAATAAAATGCAAAACAGAAGTACTTCCTCCATATAAGTAGACAGAGGTAGCATTCTTAAACACACTAAACCAGCATTTATCATTTAAATATTCATTAAGCCAACCCTTAAACTTTCTTAAATTTACTCTTTCCACCACATCTAAAGGCAACACATTCCTGTAGTAGTAGTAATGTAAAAAAAAGAAAGATGCATTGACACTATTACTTTCCTTAGCAACCTTACACACCTCAGTGACATCCTCTATAACTCATGTTTTCAAGAAAATACAATTTCAAAGATCTTAACCTGTCCTCATGTAACAGCTTTTCCTTACCAAGTATTATCCTAATAGCCCTCCCCTGAACCTGTAATTAGTGAAAATTGATGAAAAAGTAGAATTTAATAACCCAGCCATTTCATACTTATCAAATATGAGCCTTCCTTTATCAACCCTCAAAGGCCCTACTCCCATCTTAACATCTTGTTTACTCTTAATATATTTAAAGAATTCCTTACCGTTAATTTTCATATTTTCGGCAAACCTTTTCTCATGTGCCCTTTTTGATTTCCTAATTTCCTGTGTGACCAACTTTCTTGATCTATAATCCTTTAAGTCTGATGTCATAGCAGTTAACTTAAATTCTTAAATTCATGTTGCTTTTCTTTAATTTTATCCCTTTCATGAGCCATCTTGAATTTCTTATTTGCAGCCACCCTTTTTTTTTTTTTTGTATGAGGAACATGTCTATCGTGAACATGTACTTAAAAATATTTTAAGTTTTTCCACACTTGATCAGTGTCTCCAATTTATTTAGTTGTCCAATTCACAACAGATAATTCTTGTCACATCCCTTAAATTTGCTTTTTGAAATTTGTAATCAAAATCTCATTATTCCTGATCTCCATATGCAGTAAGACATCAAACCTATCTCAGCAATGATCACTTTCACACAGATGTTCCCCAATATCCACACTATCCTTCATTTCTATATTAGAAGTTAACAATAAATCTAAAATAGCATTGTTCCTAGTAGGTTCCCTAACAAATTCCTGAAAGAAAAAAACCCATCCTAAACAGAATCTAAAAACCTGTCTCCCTCATGTTGTAATTCTAAAATTCCCAATTTATATGCCTGAAGTAAAAATCACCTATAATTAAGACCTCATTAACAGCTGAAATCTTAATCTTACTGTATATTTGTCATTAATTTCACCAGTTTTATTTGGTGGCCTCTAACAGATTCCCACTAAAAGACTCTCCCCCACCCAAATATCCAGATAGATTCAATTTCCTTGCTATTATCTTTGATATCTTCAACAGGATGTAACTCACATTTATGTATAAAGCCACTTCTCCCCACTTTTTAGTACCCTCTCTCTATTTAAGGTACTCTCTCTCTTTCTATTAAATAACTTATAACCCTGCATTTCAAAGAAATTTCTGTCACCTCTTTACGTTTGACCCAGTTTTAGTTATTCCTGTTATATGAAAATCCTTCATTCTGACCAATGCTCTAAAGTCATCTGTTTCATTTCTTGTACTTTTAGCAATACAATAGTAACAACTTAGACAACCCTTAAAACTATTTCTGTACTTTGTTTCTACACTACATTTTTCTCGTATTTTTTCTGCACTTAGTTTATCCTGGCCCTCATCAAAGTCTAGTTCTTCATTTAAAGCTGCTCTTAAAGCAGAAATAATAGCCATTGAATACAAGCTAACTCTTACCCTGTTTAAATGTACATCCACCAGAAAACTCATTTTTTCCCATTGAACTGATCATATGTTTCTAACCAACTAATCAGCTCATCCTTGAATATTAAGTCTAGCATTCAGCCTTAGTGACCTGCTTATAATTTCATCCCATAATTAAGATTAACACAATTAACTTATGGCTCTTTTCTTTAAGTGCCTTTATCAATCTCTGTGTAGTTATCAATTAGCTCCTCTGACCTATCCTCAGGGGCATTCTTAGTCATTCTGGATCCATGGGCAGAATTCAGTAAATGGGGCCCCATAATGATGAGAAAACTCAGAAGTAGATTAAAAGGCATAGCATCAAGGGTCCTCCCACGTATGGGGCCCCAGACAATTGCCAAGTTTGTTCAATAGGTAAGACCGCCTATACCTATCCTTCTCTACATCATTAGCCCCTATGCACCCAGCAAAGCCTGCATTGCTTCTAGCATCCTATACTACATCACTTGCTCTGTTAGTTACACCCTCCACTCTTAACCCTAGATAGCATAATCTAATTCTTTTATCCATATTTACTCCATAAACTATCCTATCCACATGTTACACCTTAGAATTTCCAACAACTATATCCTCCTGAAATTTTTATTCCCATCCTTCTATGTCCCTTTTGTTTTCCTTCCTTCCCATAGAACCTCATTTACACAAGCAAAAGACTAAGATCTGTCACTTAACAAAAGCTGCTCATTAAAATTAAATTCACAGCTTTTAGCCCTAATAGTACTGTTCCTAACTTCCCGAAAGACATTATTAGCTATTGTATCCCTTAGATGTAAAAGCTTAACTTCCTTTTGAAATCTTGCTATACCATTTTCCAATGTTTATACTTTTCCTTATCTACTGCCTCTACTCTATTTAGGATAGCCTTCAATTTCTCATCCAATATGTAAACTATACAAACAAATTGCATATCTTCACTATTAGCTTCCTTAACCCTATCCCTGTCGTAAGCCTCACATGTGATTCACAGGACATAATGTTAAAGTGCTTGAGTATCATATGTGATACAAAGCTACATATATTTGATATGCAGCTAACTGTCATGAACGAGGCAATAAGAACTGGTTGTTTTGGTTCAACATACGAGATTAGAAGAGAGCTTCATATGAGCATCACATATGATGTTCAAAGCACATGTGAATGATGATAAGTAATGTTACTACCACTCAGTCTCTTGATTTTTAGTTACTAAACTTCTCTACTCCACTCTCTTTCATTATAACTAAAAGGATATGCTTCACTCATACCTACTTGGGTAAGTAGTCAAATAAACATATCCATAAAAACCATTAAATCACCTAAAACAGGGAGAGGGATAAATTACATGTCAGTTCTTAGTTCAAAAATAAAACCCACTCCTTTCACCCATTGCACTCTACAAACTATAAGACCTTAACATCTATACTACTCTTAACCATTTTATTGTGGGAATAAATAATTAAGACTAAGTACAATTAGCCTATTGACATTATTAAACCTAATTTTGGAGAATAAAATATATTAAACTACTTTATCTTCATACTAAGGTAATTAAGTTTATCTTTAAAATATAAGTGACAGTTATTGTTTAAATGATATTCATGTAATGATACAATGTATTTAGCCTATTTTATAGATTACCAATAAATAAGCTTAATTGCAAGATTCACTTCCCCCAATATGCAGCTTTATGCTAAAACTAACCAATCAACTTTTTTGGCTTGATTACTTATATCCTCTTTCATAATTGGAATTTTCTTGTTGCCTGTTTTCTATTAAGTTTTAGAAAATGCTAAGTTCCTTTTTTTTTAATTTTGATGTCAGTAAACTTTTACAAGTGCTAACTTTGACACTTACCGGTTTATTAACATGGACATTGTTTAAGTCAATTCCTTTGATTCTGATACGTTCTTTAGGCTTCTTACAAGGCTTCACCCATTGAAAACGTGCTACATAAGCCATGACTCCTAAATGTTCTACTTCTATATCTGCCAGTTCTCTTGCTTTCAGTAAGGGTTCAACCCCTAGGTTCTTTCCCGCAGCAATACCTACACAAAGTATTACAAGATCATGCTTTAAGCAAATTACAGATATTAGCTAATTTCACTTTAAAGTTTGGGTAATGGTTAGCTAACTTGGGAAAGGGAAAACTTCCAATAGTGAAAGCATTATTTGAAAACTTTCATGTGTGGCTAGGTACTTAAGATTATTAAAATAAATGTAAAACATATGGAGTGTAAATAGTATAAAAATCTCTTCTGTTTTATTATTTTTCTTTTTGCATTAGTGAACTTGATTCATTAGAAATTACTATGATCAAATAACACACAGAAATAGAAAGAAATGGATTATGATAAAGAATTCACTGCAATTTACAAATAATTACAGATTAAAAAATCTTTACTATTAAAAACACTTTATGTTACCCCAAATGAAACAAGTATCAAAAAGTTAGCTTAAAAAATTAAGCTCCTTACCTTGTTGTAAATTTTTCTCCCACTGAGAGTGATCTTGACTGAGACTTGTATAACCCCTAACAGTAGCTCCCAGAGACTGTACTAATGCACATAATGACAACCCATCATTCCAGTCAGTCTGAAAGAATGTTGAACAAAATTATTCAGTATTTTTTTATAAGATTTCACACTTTTTTTTTTACATTTGCAATACAAACCATAATTTAAGGCTTTTAAAATATGTAATTCATGAAAATGATTTGGAAATACCATCAAAAGATACACAATGAGTGGTTTCAACAAAACATTAAGAATACTTTATCATGCTAAATACTGTCTAAAATGCTCATACATACATACATACACTAGTACTGTAATCTAAAGTTATGTTCTAACTAACACAGTAAGAATTTGATAAAATAATGCTTTTAATAAATTTTACTCTTGTGTAATGGGTTTTCAAGTGGATTATTTTGAGATTAACAGCTGCATCAGAGTTGATAATATGTAAAACTTTAGGAGTTACTTAAATTTACTTGCAAAGCACTTACTACATACAACTAAGTAACTTTCTTGCATTCCACTTCTTTTGAATATTAAATACAAGTAAGGTACTTCATATGACACACAATTATAAACTAATCCAACTTTCATTTATGCATAACTGAGTTACAGAACATAAATAATGCTGAAACTAAGCTCATTTTTTGCATCTAGTTGGTCACTTGTGAAATACTCTTGAACACACTAGTAAACCACACTAATTCATAAAATTTCATGTTAACCATATAAATAACTCACAAGGCCACATTTTCAAACTTTTAAAACATATTTAATGAATATCTACCACAAAATCCATACTTTAATGAATTTCTTAGAAAAAAATATATAAAAGTATATACAACTGTCTCTACTGAATGACAATTACAGTGAAGTTCTCTATGTGAAGCTGTGGAAGTTGTTTCTGAACCCAGCTTAAGGTAGCTTGGTACCCTGGGCTATCCTCCTTCATGTAATATGAAAGATAGGTCATCCCAGAGAGCTCATCCAAGTTAGGACTTGCAAGATCATCTGGAGTTAAAATCATAGGGATGTCAAATTCCTTTTTTGCTAGCTCCATAGCAGCTTTACAGTTTTTCTCCCTACAACAATAACAAATCATTATTAATAAATATTAAATGATAAATAGAAATGAATAAATATATGATGATAAAAAAAAACATTCTATGGTTTGATTCACCCAGAAAATTGGCAGCTTTTTCAACACAAAACTTATATATATACATGCAACACAATAAAAATTTCTAAGAAAATTATGAATTACAATCAAAACCTTTTGTTGAATGCACTTATCTCATGAGAAAACAGAATGATTTTTTAACTCTGAACTTATCATTGTGAGTAACTGATCACTGCCTAAGCTTATCCAAATAACACAAAAATTTTTTTTTACACTAGATTTAGACTTCAGCACAAAGACCAAAATATTATCCATACCCATTACTCCCAGAAGATGCAGTCCATAATAATATCAAGCCCAGAACATAAAATGCTTTTAAAATTATTGTGATCAAAATAATGTGAGTTATATCCGACTTTAAAAACAGATATTCTGAATGAAGAGAAAAATTTCTTCACAGCATTATTTCATACATTAAAATCAGCTGTCTTATCTTACAGCTTGCTTTTGAGGAGTATTTGTTCCAGATCTTAAACACGACATATCACACTGAACCTTGATGACAAACATTTTCTCCCCTAAAGAAACAATGTGTATGTGCCAGTCAAAATACAACATGAAAACAAAATGTTTGTGACAAGTGCTGTGAAAGAAAGAAAGCATGGCCAATATTTTGGTTGAATTGTTAACCATATTCTATCCAACTCATAGCAGTTTTAAACTGTTCTGATTAGAACATTATTCCCACTTTTTCTTTTTTTTTACAAAAGCTAAACTGTTCCTTGTGAAGTATTTACCAAATTTTTCAATGGGATTTCTATCCCATGTTTTTCTTTTTTAAGCTGAATTACATCTTTTTCCCAAAACCTCCTGCTAATTACTATTATACTAATTTCATAAAATCAAAAGAAGTAACTGATTTTTTAAGTTATAGTCTTATGTCAATATGAAAGACCAAACTCAACTCTTTTTTTAACTTCAATTTCATCAAATTTTCTGAAGCTTTTGAAGTAAAGCTTAAGTACAGTTTAGAAGATTTACAAATAATTCAAACAAGGAAACTGAGATTGCCGTTCTTATTTAGGATTTTTCTAAATTTTCCTCAAACTTACCAAAGAGGAAAAACTTACTTTTCTCTAGGGTTCAGTGATCTCCAGTTTGGACAGAGTCCAGGGCAGCAATAGTCTATTAAAGCACTGAAAGAAAGGAGTAAGTTAATGTGCTTATGATGTCACACTTATCTGAATAACAATTATTACAAGAGAAATGTCATGGTTAAAAATTATAATCTGTATAGCAATGTACATGTAATTTTAATAAGAAAAAAATATATTATTTATGCCAAGTTAAACAGGTTTTCATGTCTTAAAATATGGCTGATGTTTGTATAATATAAAAAAATATTATCTACTATGATTGTGATATATAAAGAAACTAATAACGTTACCAAATATCATATTTCTAAATATCTACATAAAATTAAGCCATTTAATATAATAAATGAATAAAGAGAGGAAAAAATGTTTATTTTTCAAATATATTATTTGTATCTTTGTTAAAGAGCAATATAAAAATTGAATATATAGCATCACAATTGTAGAATAGTTTGTTTTTAAGAAAATATTTTTAAAAAAATGTTCCCTTCAAAATTATAAGCCGAAATACAACATCCAAGACTAAAATTCTTTATTTTTTGTATTGTAATTCATAAAAAAAAAACAGCAAAAATTTAGGAATTTCCATAAATCCATATTCATAAATATATATACAGGAGTAAGTACCTCAAAGAAGCACAAGTATGTAATATTATTTAATGCACTTACCTCAGTGCTATACCATTATTCCAGTCTGTTGTGAAGTTCATAATCTTAAGGTCAGGTAATGTTGCCTGAAGCCAAGCTAACATCAGTTTCTTTGGGGGAAAGCTGGTTCGACCAATTTGATACCTCAGTATTAATGCCCATATAAGACCTAAGATGAGCTTCAGATTTCCTTCTACTATATCAGTATTACCTGAAATATAAATCATAATAACATCAAAGAAGGCTCTACTGAAAATTAGAAACTACTAAGAAGCCCAAAATTACAAATAAATTTAAATGTTTTTTTTTCATAAGACTGACCACCTAATATAATGAGTTTTAGACTTGTGTATGGAACTTTCTCACTAGCTAGCCGAATTATTATTCATTGATAAAAATGAGAAGATTAAATAATAAATAAAAGGAAATCTAACATTTCAAAATATTTTTAGAACTAAATTTGAACTACAACATTCATTACTGCTTAAAACAACTTATGCTGGGCAGTACAATGGACTGAAAAACTCCATTGCATAAAGCGTGTCCAGATTACTAAAGTGTTAATGGAAAATATGAGGGGGGTCAAGTTGTATCCATATTTAATGATTCTGATGTATAGTTCTCAACAGTAAGTAGTCAAGCTTACTGCTTAACCACAGTTGGGAGAACTCAAACATGACATTTATGTTTTACATATGTAAAATAAGTAAGCAAGAGTAAATACCCAGTTATACATGAAACGTTGAAAAAAAAATTGTATGGACGTACAGGAGCAAGTATTTAAGTATGTTAACAGATACAGTTTTTTGTCCTTATGATAAAACTAATTCCTTAGCTAATCCCCCCCCCAAAAAAAGTTTAAAATATTTCATAAAAAAATTACAGAGCAGGTAATTAAATGTGCATACGATTCTTCACCCAATCCAGTTTAATGCATTGTTCGTCCATAAATATTTATTTTTCATTTCTTTGCTAAAGTACTTATCCTGTACATTTTGAATACTCCAATTCAATTTCGTTAATTTGGATATAAAACGGTTTAGCTAACATCTTCGATTAAAGAACTTCCACAATAAGAATGAAATATCCCCATAGTAACCTAATCGATTTAACCATGTCCTTTAACAAGTTAAACTTGTTCAATATTCGAATGAACTTTTTTTTGATAGAATCTTTAAAAGTTAGTAAGGAAAATGCTCACACACAACAAAGATATTAACATAAGTCCGAATTATGTTATGAAACAATGCATTCTAATCTTTACAAGCAGAAACCTAAGAAGAGTGTATTTAATTGACTATACTAACTGTCACTGATTGTTAGTTTCGCTCTAAGTACATAGCTTGTTATGACTGGAAGTTAATATTAATTAACTTGAAAAGTGATATTTAAAAAAATAGTACTTCCTTGCTAATAAAAAACAATTTTTACTAAGGAAAGATCTGTATTATCATTATGATAATGTACGTACAAGATGACAGACAGTCTAAGACTTTTAATATACGAGTTATACAAATACAGTACTAAGTTCTACACAGTGTAAAGTGCACGGCCGTTTCGGCCTTCGACAAGTTACGAGAAAACAGGATTTCACATTCCTTGCATGCCCTCGTTTCAGACAGGTTTTCAACAATTCATGAAACACCCCTTTGCACCCCTACGTTCGTTGTTAGAGATCTAAATTGAATATAAACACAACTATTCTTTCTTTTTTGGACTCTGTCCAGGTAGAAGGTATTTCAACCTTGAATCGAACGCTTGGTTTTGGGACAGCTCTCTGTCCAAACCCCATGCTTGTGAACAAGGTCTGTGCGCACTTCCTTTGTCACACGGTAACCTTTCAGGATTAAAAAAAACTGGCTTTCCTAATATACTGGTACATTTTTTTAGTACAAGTTTGTTCATTCAGTAACTCATTCATAAATTTTATGTTCACATGTTTTCTAGTGAATAATTAGAAATTACAAGTTACCAATGTGCGAAAAAGATTGATTTCAAATACTAAAATACCATACAAAAACACATGACAATTTATTAAACATGCGAGTTTGTTCGAAAAGAAAAAGTACTGGAAGCGAAGTAAAATACACAAGCCAATACTTTATATTACCTTAGACACTTTCATTTTGAAAAATATTAGTTGTGTTTTTGAATTACCGCGTTAGTTTTGATATACCTTTAAAAAATTCCACTTGTATTGTGTTTGATGCTGCCAAAGAAAGTGTAAGTTAGTATTATAATGAAAAAAAAAATATTGAAAGGTTAATTTGTTTGCTTATTTTGAATTTCGCGTAAAGCTACACGAGGAATATCTGCGCTATCCGGGCCTATATTGAAAGGAATCGCGCAGTTGTAATAGTTTTACAACAATTACTCCATTCTTTCCTTTCTCCAGATATAAAAAACTAAGTATCTGTAAAAAATCCATCTTTGTCACTAACTTTTACTGTCTATGTTTGTAGATAAATAATTTTCCTAGTGCCATGTTAACTTTATATACATAATAACGAGCAAAAGAAAAAAATAGACCTCTGAAAAAATTTATAAAGACTTTTTTCAATTTTTCAAAGAGTATTTGCCATGACTATTTCACATGTGTAGTACATATGATAAAAAAATACATTCTAATTCTTTTTACAGCAGAGTTCACGCATGCTTCGTAGTATCATTGATACAGCGATAAAAATCCAAAGAATTCTGGATGACAACCAGTGTCGCCATGCTAAGTTATCCCAACAACGTTTGTTTTCGTAAACGTGTTTTTTTTGTTGTTTTTTTTGGAAAAAAAGATCAAGTAGTCAAAGAAAATAACTTTTCGAGTGCAATTTAATAAATCTTTAATTGTTTAATGACCCTTAAATGAATTTCATAGAAGGTTTTGCCAAATTCTAGAAGTTTTCTGCAAAATTCCAGGTCAAAAACTAATTTGACCAAATTTAAAGAGTTTTAAAAATGACTCGGATAAAATTCAAGGAGTTTTCCATGCCTTTGCGAATCATATACTTCATTATATAGCTGAAACTTGAAACTAGTAAACTTTGGTAGCAACAAAATTACAAGCACGAGTGATTAATACCACACATTTCTAGGCTAAAACATGCAAGTGTACTAGAAATAAAACATAGCTAATGGTAGTGACAATAAAAGATGAAAAGTTGAGTAACATAAAATTAATAGAATGGAGAAAGAGCTATTTTGTAATAACTATTCTTTCATAACTGCACGATTTGCTGTCAGAAACTTAATGTAGTATTTTCAGTAAACGATTCAACCTCTAGCAAAAGATATAATTTAAACCAACTCTTGTGAGAGAGAGAAAGAAAACAATCAACAAGTCCTCTACTCAATATTCAAAAATTGTGCCAATAAAAAATGACGCACAGTTTTGTAAAAACACCGGTAATTTACCCTCGTTTCAGAGATAAAGAGTAAGCCATAATACTTACAACTTTCTATTGTTCATATACGAAGAAAATACTACGCGGTAGGCCTGTCAAGCATATCAAAGTCAATCTTATAAAAAAAATACAGAAAAAAAGAACAGTTGGTTTATATATTTTCAAGCATGTAATTGACATAAATACATAAGTACCAACATTTTGTAAATAACATAATAACTAAAAACATTATTAATGTATTTCCTTCGTAATATTTTGTATATAATTTAGCTGTGAAATTTTTTTTATTATATTAAATTCATCTCACAAGACATCGAATTCCATTCCATACTGCAATATTAATTTTGATAATGTATTTTTTTAAGTAAAGAATCGTAAAATTATTATGATATTTTTCTTTGTAATTTACGTTTAAGCTGTGATCTACTTGCAAGGTAATTTTATAAGTTATACGCGTAAGGTTAATAATCCAGTCACTTGTCGCGATGGTATGTGTACCTGTTCATACCGCTGTTTCTACGGTTTCAAACTTATAGTACCCTTTGTCAACGTAAAGCATAACTCGGGTTGGTTTGGTTTTGGAACAGCACTGTGTTCTGATGCCACGTGCCTAATAAAGCAGCCATGTATTTTCGACCTCAGCAACAAAATCATATACCTTATCCAGATATTGTGATGACAAAAAAACAAAAAAGTAGAACACTTTCTTCCTTAGTCTATCAGTATAAGCAAGAGTTTTCATAACCTTTCCGTTACCCCAGAAACGATGCAGCATAGGTTACGACATTTGAAAACAAAAATTGTTTCCAGTTGTGTTATGTACAGTTAGCAAGAATGTATTAACATCTGCATGCGTTGATTTCAATATTTGTATCCAACATTAAGTCCACAATAAAAGTAAAAAACGGCTCACCTACAATTGACACAAAGGGTTAAGCAGCTCCTGTGTACTTATGCTCTAAACAACCACATTAATCTTTATTAAAATATTTTCCGTAGGGCTTAATTTGAGTTAAATCAGAAAATTAATCTTTCATTTACAGATAACTGATATGAAAAATGTCTCATACATAGAAACATTGCAATACAAAGTAACAGCCTTTCCTTGTGGTGCAAGTATATTTTGATCGCCAGTCTTACTTTCGCTGCGCATTTCCAAAATAAGTATTAAAGTCACGCGCTGCTGACAAGAAACTAACGAAAGTACAAGAACAGGTTTTCAGCTCGATTGTCACGACTTCAACCGCCAGAAAGTCCTTCCCAGTGAGGATTATGTATAAATTGTTTTTCATCGAATTGGAAAGACTAAAAAATACAGGTATTTCCGGTGATTCACTGACCAGGATGAACTACTCGATCAACCTAAAGCCAATGACCCACAAAGCTACTCCCCTCCACGACACTTTCAATGAAAAATAACCCTTAAAAACGCTATCAGCAGAGGTTCTAGAATATTTACGGGGCATGTCTAAGAATCTTGAGTCCAGAATATCAAGAGTAAGCCTGGGAATTATTAATATGGTTTGAAACTCAATATTATGAATCTCTAATTTTTGCGAACTTTGAGCTCGGTTGCTGGAGTTCTCGATAAGTTTGATATTAGATATTGTTACTTATCCTTTATATGTATGCATGCATTCGTGTGCGTGTGTGTGTGCGCGCGCGCGCTCACTTTCTATGCAATTTATTACGACCCCTCATATACACACAACACATTCATATGCATTAGTAGAACGCAATATTTATATCCATCTGCAAAATGTGCTGATCACAGGATGTGTTAGATAACTGGAAGAGTTCTATGAATGCAGAG